TCTAGGGACATGATTTTGCATCCTACTGTCTCTATTTCTGTAAAGGAAAAATGAAAAATGAGTCAAAGGTGTTTCAAGAATAAAGATTAAGAATAGAAGTCCAGGGTGGGTGGTGAGTCTTGCATCTTAATTCTTTGGCATTTCAATGTGGAAAAAAGAGAGGTAAGGGTAGAGTTGTGTTAATGAAGTAATAAAAGAGTTCCTTGCAAAATCCAGGCTTTGTGATAGAGAATATAATCCTGGCCTTCTGGCAGAGTGAAAGTTTGGTAATGGGGAACCGGGTCTGTGATTGAATGAAGATGTAACAACCAATGAATAACTCTTGCTGAATGAGTTATTTTCATTGTTGGTTTCTATAGCTTGTTAGAAGATATGTTACTTGAATGTTTTAGTGGAAGGGCTTGTTGGTAAAAATAATCTATATGCAAGTAAAAATCTGCCTGGCTGGGATGAAGGAATCATTTAGTATTGTGTTACTATTAATAAATTGTGCCATTCTCCCCCTTGTACTATAAAATATTGTAATAGAATATTACTTTTACACTTTCTAAAATGCTTTTAAGTAATTCAATTTGGGCCAATCACTCTCTCTCAACTCAACCTACTTCACAGGGTTGTTGCTGTGAGGAAAATACCAGGAGGAAGGAGTATTAGGTATATTTGCCACCTCAAGTTATTTATAAAAATAATAAAGGTGGGATAATAAATAAAATATTTAAAGTTCATTACATTCATTTTTTCTAATGTACTGTGTTGATCATGATAGTACCCAAAACTAAATGTATGTGGCCTTCCTTTCATTCCAGCCATTTCATTCCCTTCTTAGGAATTTATGCACAGACACTGGACATTCCCAGATCTTTCCTGTAGCAAGACTATTCAAGGGCTAAAAATAGTCTGCAGCTTTTTTTCCCCCTCTTAAAAAAAAAGTAAGAGCTGAAAAGGCTCAGTGCTGCTTCCTGTACCTGCCCTGTCCATGCTATCCAAGCCAAACTGGCTCATTTTTCCTTGAACTTAACCTTCATGCAACTGATCTGGGAATTCAGAACTGGGTTAGCTACTTCACATGTGGCTTTATTTCTTTCTTTTTATCAATACCAAAATGCACAAATAAAGATAAAGGTTTTTTTTTCAAATTTTCTTTTCCTCAGCAGGGGGGCAAGGTGTAATGCAGTAGAAAGAATAAAGCTGATGGATGCTTACTTTAAAGGAGACTCTCTATCCCAGGGCAGACATGATTAGCAGCATCCCAGCTGCCTTGCTCATCCCTCTGTTACTGTTACTTTACATGCTGAGATGTGAGTCATATTTTGCCCTGACTCTGACTATCAGGATTGTAACCAGCTTCTATCCAGACTTCGTCTCATTCCTTCCTAAGGAGAACCAAGGGCAACTTCCTGGTTCAATCTGCTTGTTTGGCCCATGACGCAAGAGAGAGCTTGCTTGTCTATGTAATACAATCATGTATTAAGCAGTGATATTGCAGCATTAATAAGTAAAGATCCTCACTTGGCAGCCGAATTAATAAAAGCAACTGACAGTGAGTGAGCAAGATGAATTAAAGGTCTCATAGATGAGAAAAGAAATGGAGAGAACATTATCTAGTTCAGTTCCATTCCAATTACTGAAAATGGCACCAAACCCCAAATAAATTGTTGAAAAAATTTTCACACCAATAGAAAAGACAAAATCACTCTTTTGCTTTGACCAGCTGGAAACGATAACAATGAGAGGCTAAGGAAAACCAGACACTTGCTGATTAAAAATGACAGGTATAAAAGTTGTGAGGTAGCCATCTTCCCCAGAATTGATTTGTGTGGCTTCATTTCTGGTATTGGCAAATCACCTGTAGTTCTTTTGCTGTCTCCCATTGGTTTTCTGGCATGTTTGTTTGTGTACAAGAAATTTATTTCTTTATATATTAATTGCCTTTCGGTCCTGGATGTCCAATCTTGGCAACTTTAAGACTTCATGCTGGCTGAGGAATTCTGGGAATTGAAGTCCACAAGTCTTAAAGTTGCCAAGGTTGGACAATCTTTTCCCAGAGAGCTTCAAGCATTGTATATGGTTCTTTCCTTTTTTTTTAATTTTAAAAACAAACTTTATTCAATATAAAAAGATAAAAGATTGTACAAAACGTTCTTAACTCTAAAAAAGAAAGTACAATTTTAAATTACATATATACTAAAACTAACAAACAGGATTATCTATCTGTATTGAACATGTAAATACATATATACATTAACCTTGATTTCTTAATGACGGTGTAAATTTGTTACCCTTAAATTCTTACTATATTTGACTTTAGTTTTTTTCCATCGATTGATCCATTCATACCATCTGTCCCATATTTTGTAATACTGTGAGTCTTCCTTGTTTAATTTTAAAGTTAATCTATCCATTTCTGCACATATGAATATTTTTTGGATTATTTGTTGTTCTGTTGGCAACTGTTCTAATTTCCAGGATTGGGCTAGGGTTAATCTAGCCGCCGTAATTATATGTAATGTAATGTATTTTATTTATTTTCTACTACTTTTTTTAAATATGCCTAATAAAAAAATTTCAGGTTTTAGGTCAATCTCTTGTTCTGTTATTTCTGTTATCCATATTCTAATTTTCATCCAAATTTTTTAATTTTTGGGCAAAGCCACCAAAGATGATAAAAGGTTCCCAGTGATTTTCTGCATTTCCAACATATCGGATTACAATTTGGGTACATTTTTGCCAATCTAGCAGGGGCTAGGTACCACCTATACCACATCTTATAGTGGTTCTCTTTATACGTTGTTGCCTTTGTTATTCTACAATTATTTTCCCATATCATTTCCCACTCTCCTAATTGTATACTTCTTCCAATATTCCTAGCCCAAGCTATCATTTGGCCTGTGACTATGTTTTCTGCCAGGCCGAACTCTAGTAGGTATTTATAGATCTTTGAAATTAATTTTCCTGCCTTAGTTTCTAATAATTTATCTAATTGGTTGGATTTTATATCAACTCCTCCTTCTTCACTGTCTTTTTTATATCTAGTTTGTATTAGTAAATATGGCCATCAGTCTATTTCTATACCCTGGTCCCTGAGCTCTTGGCGAGATTTGAGTCTCCCATTAATATCCAGAATTTCTTTGTATCTTATTATTTTTTGAGTAGCTGGTGTGTTGGAGTACATTGTATTGGGGTGCAATGTTGCCTCTAATGTAGATATCCAGCCTGGGACTTTCATATAGTGCTTATGTTTAATTTCCAACCAGGTGTCAATTAGTGAATTTCTTATTATGTGGTTTTTAAAATGTTTGTATGTTTTGTTTCCGATGTTCCACAAGTAAGCATGCCAGCCTTTTAATAAATCGTGACCTTCCAATTTCAATACTCTTTGGTTGTCCAAATTAACCCAATCCTTAATCCATATTAGACTTGCCGCTCTATAATATTTTTCCCAGGCTGGTAGGCTAAAGCCTCCTATGGTTTTATCGTCTTGTAGTATTTTTAAATTTATCCTCGATTTTTTCCCCTCCCATATAAATTTTGTGATTAATTTATTCAAATTTGTAAAAAAAAAAAAATCTAATTTAACAGGAATAGTTTGAAACAAGTAGAGGAGCCTTGGGAGTATATTCATCTTTATCACCGCGATTCTTCCTAGTAGCGATAGTTTAAGTTTCCCCCATCTCTCTAGGTCTTTTTTAATTTGTTGTATTAGTTCTCCATAATTGTTATCCTTAATTGCTATATTTCTAGTTGTCAAATTTATACCTAAATATTTTATCTTTTTAACTACTTGCAATCCTGATTGTTGTTCCAATTCTTCTATTTGTTTTATTGTTAGATTTTTGGTTAGTATTTTAGTCTTGTTTTTATTAATTTTTAACCCTGCCACCCTGCCGAATTTCTCTATTTTCTCCATCAATTTTAATTGTGTTTCTAATGGGTCTTCTGTGAAGAATACAAGGTCATCAGCAAAGGCTTGGACCTTGTATTCTTCTCCTTTTACTTTAAGTCCTTTTATATTTTTATTTAGTCTAATTCTCCTAAGCAAATTCTCCCGGGGTTAAAATAAAAAGCAGGGGTGAGAGTGGGCACCCTTGTCTTACTCCTCTACTTATTTCAAAGAAATCTGTTAATTCCCCATTAACTAATAGTCTTGCCTTCTGACTTTTGTTATTATCTTTTCAAATTTCTCTCCGAATTTCATATTTTTTATTTGTTGTGTCATGAATTTCCAATTGACTCGATCGAATGCTTTTTGTGCATCCAGAAAAACAAGCGCTGCTTGCTTCTCTGGATGCACCTCATAGTATCCTATTATATTAATCACCATTCTTAAATTATTTTTAATTTGTCTTGTCGGCAAGAATCCATTCTGATCTGGATGTATTCTATTATTTAATATTATTTTTAATCTATTCGCCATTAAATTCATAAAAATTTTATAGTTGGTATTTAATAGGGAAATTGGCCTATAATTACTAATTTGTGTTGTATCTTTCTCCATTGAGAGAGGAGACAGCAGCCAGCGTGGGTAGTGCCCATCCAATCAGCTTGAAGGACTGAGCCTGCCAATTATTCTTAGTCCCGCCTCTGTTGCCGGGCAGGCCAGCTTTTGGCTCAGTCCTTCAGCGCTGGCTGGTGTGTGGGATATTCTCTCTGGCTAAAAGTCTCCTTTTCTCTCTTTCGTATTGGATTTTTTCGTGTTTTTTGACTTGGACTGTTTGACTGTGTTTTTGGTAATTCGATTTGGACTTTGACTGCTTTTCTCTGGCTGACTTGGACCGTCCTGACATCGAGTTTAGGAGTTGTGAGTAAAGAAATAGACCTTCGTTTACTTCGATCTCCCCTGGCTCTGCCAGGGGCGTGGGGGTTCCTTGCCTTTGTTTTCAGCCAGGGAGGGCTTATTGGACATTGATCTTCGAGGGACATTTCCCCCAGTTGCGATTTCTCACGTCCCTTCAATCAACGGCAGTTTCGGCGGGCGTTCTAGCAGCGGCGCCTGCCATTTTGAGCTAGAGGATTTTACCGCCGTTGGGGGAGAGCGCTAATTAGCGGCCGGCGATCCTCCCTCTCTCAATCCCTGCCGGATCGCTACTTAACAGGCCATTAAATTGAGTGCAAAGTGTGGAGGGCTGCTTGATTCTTACTGTGGAGCCTCGCGCCCCCACTTCTGCCCCATTGAATGTATCTGCAGCCTTCTCTAATTACCTCGTGGCCTCTTTAAACAGACCAAGCGGATTGTTCGCTGCATTCTTGCAGCTGAGGAGCTTCGCGCCCCCCCTCCCCCTTCTGGGTTTCAGTGGCCCGAATCCGGAGGCTTTTCAAATTGCGCCTGGTGGAGCTTCACGCCCCCCTCCCTCCCTGTAGCAGAGATTTCTTGTTTTAGGCGCTGGCCACCATTGAGAATTAGTGGAGCTTTACGCCCCCACCCGTGTTCTTAATTACAACGGTCACAGGACTGTGGCCTTAATTTGCCTGATTGCTTGTTTAACTGCTTGCCTCCCATTATTTAACGTTTTAAACGGCCTCCCTCCCCCCACCAATTCTCCAGTTCGTGGAGTTGTTACGCTCCCAATTTAATCTGTTGAGCCTTTGGTTTGTAATAATTAAGAAACAGTTTACACGAGGCCTTTTTTCCTGTGGAGTTCCTTTCGCTCCCTGCTATCTGTTCAGAATCGGATTGTTAATACACAGTCTGGTGCGTGGGGGAGGCGGTTCTTACAACCTTGTTGTGAGCTATGCCTAAGGCCCTTTCAAAGTCTAAGCACGGCCGGAAGGCCAGTGCAGGAATGGTTGGTCAATCAGACTCCACGTCTGTTACCCAGCAATCTACTATGGAAGATTCCAGGTCTCATTCCAGGACTTCTCAAGTATCACGTTCCCATCACAAGTCTTCCACTCGTGACTTGTCATCCTCTTCTTCCAAAGTGGAAAAACGTAGAGACAAAGTTTTGACCAGATTATGTGACAAGGCATGTGCCCAACTGCCTTCCTCCTCTCCTCAGCCTCCTGCTCCTTCTAGTCCTCCTCCAGTCACCGTACCCCATTCACCTACTCCTGACCAGCTGTCTCTGCAAGATTGTCCAGTGACTATTTCTGAGGAAAATTTGTGGGGCCCTGGTTCAGTTCCTCAGCAACCGCCCCCTGATCCAGCAACAGTACAGGTGGTTCATTCGTCTGATTCTGTTCATGCCCGCTCTTTGGATCCATTAGTTCCTGCAGATCAGCTGCAACAGATGATTGAGGCGGCGGTTCAAAAGTCCTTAGCCGCCCGTTCAGGCCTTTCCAGTCGACAGGGATCAGTAAGAGAGCCTTCTCCCTTCTCAGCGGGCCGTAGTGACGAAGGATGTTCACATTCAGTTCGCTCCGCTTCTCCTACTTCTTCCCATTACAGTCATCCTTCAGCCTTCATTGACGAAGGAGATCCTGATTCTGACCTGTCGGAGGATGAGAACCTTCCCCCGGATCAGCCTGCTTTCACGGGTCTCTTTCCTCAGGCCTTGTTCAAATCATTGCTCTTCAAGGCTGTTAATACGGCCCGTTTGTCCTCTCCAAACGCTGATCCGGTACCTCCTCAGTCTTCCTCTGGAGCTTTGGACCTGATGTTCGCGGAACCAGCTAGGCCTATAACATCCGTTCCTACTCCCCCCCTCTTTCTGGACGTAGTGAAACGACAGTGGGAATCCCCGGCATCTGCTCCCCTACCTTCGTCTAATGACAAAAGAAACTTCCAAGTATCCTCGGATCTTGAGACTCTTCTTCAGATTCCTTCGGTGGATGCCCCAGTTGCAGCTCTTCTTCCTAACTCCAATGTTCCGGGCGAGCCGGACGAAGGTTTCCGCCCTGAGGAACGCAGATCTGATCAAGTTCTTCAAAAGGCCTTTCAAAGTTCCTCCTGGGCGATTAAAGCAACTACTACGGCATCCTTCTTCAATCGGACAACGTTGCTTTGGTTACGTCAGTTGCAAGAAAAGCTGGCCCCCGGAGATACTCGTATTAGACAAGACCTGAATAAAATTGTGGCTGCCGTTCAATTTTCAGCCGACTCTACTCTGAATGCTGCCAGGTTCTCCACAAAATCGTTGGCTTCGGCTGTCACGGCTCGTCGTTTGTTGTATCTCCGTCACTGGCAGGCTGATGCCAGGCACAAGTGGCGATTGGCTTCGGTTCCCTTTAAGGGCACGAAGCTTTTCGGGGACGCTTTAGACCCCTTCCTCACAGAAACCAGGGACAAAAAGAAGGTGTTAGCAGCTGTTTTCCGGAGAGGAGCGCCCCGTTTCTCTCCTTACCCTTCTCGTTCTTACTCTAGAGGTGCGGATGGGGGGTCCTCCTCTTCTTCTCCCTTTCCCTCATTTAGGAGAGATGGGTCTTTCAGCAGGCAACGGGGGTCTTCCGATAGGTCATTCAGAGGGCGTCCCTTTAACTTCAAGCGGCCCTTTCGAGGGGGAGGAGGTCGTTTCGCCCGTCGCCGTCGCTGATTGCCTTTTGGATCCTCCCATTGGCGGTAGATTGGGTCTTTTTGCCGCGGTCTGGGAAGAATCCACCTCGGATAAGTGGGTCCACGCCACCTTGAAATCTGGGTTGGCCATTGAATTTGTTGCCCCCCCTCCTCACTCCTTTGTTTGCTGTCCGATTTCTCGTAATCCCGCTAGGAGGTCCCTTATGGACTCATCGGTTCAGCATCTCCTGTCTATCAGGGCTATCCAACCTGTGCCTCCCGGTCAGGAGGGTTCGGGATTCTATTCAAGGGTGTTTCTAGTCCCTAAATCTTCGGGGGGGTGGCGTCCTATTCTGGACCTTAAACGTTTGAATAGATATGTTGTGTATCGAAAATTTAAAATGCAATCATTAAAGTCTATTCTGGACGGCGTTCAGAGGGGCGATCTCCTCTCTTCCATTGACCTAACTGAGGCCTACCTTCATATCCCTATCCTACCATCCCATAGACGTTTTTTGAGGTTTTGTTATAATGGAGCACACTACCAATATAGGGCTCTTCCATTTGGCCTTTCTTCTGCCCCCCGCACCTTTACGAAGGTGCTGGCTGCCTTGGCGGCTCAACTCCGTCTCCGTTCAGTCCGCCTCCTGTGTTATTTAGATGATATTCTGCTGTTGTCTCCTTCTGTGCAACAGGCTGCCTTAGATATTCGTCTGACGGTGGAGACTCTAGCGGCTCACGGCTTCTCTGTTAATTTGGAGAAGAGCCATCTCTCCCCCTCTACTAGGTTAGTGCACTTGGGTGCTCTGATTGACTCTCATCAGGGCAAAGTTTTTCTTTCTGCCGATAGGCAGGCTAGTCTGAGGCAGTTGATTTCCCGAGTTGAGGGGAGTCGGGCGGTTTCCCCCTATGTCTTGTCTCAACTCTTAGGTAAGATGATATCCGCAATAGCTATTGTTCCCTGGGCTCAACTTCACGCCAGGGAACTCCAATGGTTTCTCTTGCCTTTGCAGAAGGCTGGCAGAGGCACTTCATCGAAGCCGATCCCTCTTCCTCCTGCGGTACGAAGATCCCTCCGGTGGTGGCGCTCCCCCGCTCTCTCGGGTTGCTTCTTCCTCGAGCCCTCGAGGGTGGTGGTGACTTCAGATGCCAGTCTCCTGGGCTGGGGAGCCCATTGTCAAGGTCAACTGGCTCAAGGGACTTGGACACCTTCGGAAGCTCGACATCCCATCAATTGGCTGGAGCTGAAGGCCGTGTACCTAGCTCTAAAGTCCTTCCGCCATCTGGTCTCCAGGACCCACGTCCTCGTCCTCACGGACAATGTCGCGGCAAAGGCTCATTTGAACAAACTGGGGGGCACCAGGTCGAAGTCTCTTCTAACCCTGGCTGTCGCGTTGGGCGTCTGGTCAGAACGCCACCTGTGTTCCCTTCGGGCGGAACACATCTCCGGGGTACAGAATGTTCAAGCGGACTGGTTGAGTCGTCGGCGGATAGACAACGCGGAATGGTGTCTCCTCCCGCTCCTCTTCCATGAACTGTCTCTTCGCTTCAGCCGTCCAGTGATCGACTTATTCGTGACTCACGAGAACTCTCAACTTCCGCTGTTCTTCTCACGATACCCACATCCTCGAGCGGCAGGCATCGACGCTCTTCGAACTCCTTGGCCGTCGGGCCTTCTGTACGCATTTCCCCCGACGGCCCTCCTCCCCAGAGTCATCCGCAAGATTCTATCCGAGCGAGCGGAAGTGATCCTTGTGGCTCCTCATTGGCCTCGGAGACCCTGGTTTGCGGACCTCGTGTCCCTATCGGTGACCCCATCGTGGCGCATTCCTCTCTTGGACAATATTCTCTCGCAGGGCGCCCTGAAGCACCCAGATCCGGCCTGGCTCAATCTAACCGCTTGGAGGTTGAGCGGTGCACTTTGAGGGAGGTACAAGTCCCGGCAGATGTTGTGCATACCTTGCTATCCTCCCGTCGGCCTTCTACGGAACGCATTTACTCTGCCACCTGGCGGAGTTTCTGCAACTGGTGTACTCAGGCCGGTGTCTTGCCTCTACAACCGTCTCTTATACATATTCTAATGTTTTTGCAGAAGGGTCTCTCCCAGGGTCTCTCTCCTAACACTCTCCGCCGACACGTTGCAGCCTTATCTTCGGTACTTACCTGCGGCTCCTTGTCGTCTCTGGCTCAACACCCTTTGATCCATCGTTTTCTTCGGGGAGCAAAGAACTTGTGTCCTCCTGTTCTGCATCACTACCCGACCTGGGATCTTCCTCTGGTCTTGCAGTCTCTTACGTCTTCCCCGTACGAACCACTTCGGACTACCAGCCTCAGACTGCTCACCTGCAAGGTTGCCTTCTTGGTGGCCATCACTTCGGCTCGCCGCATATCTGAGCTCGCCGCCTTGTCTACTCGTTCGGATCTTTGTGTTTTCCACGCAGACCGAGTGGTACTCCGTTTGGACCCGACATTCGTGCCGAAAGTCAACTCTGTTTTCCACCGTGCCCAGGAACTGGTCCTGCCAAATTTCTGCCCCCGGCCCTCTCATCCTCGGGAACGTCGTTGGCATTCCCTTGATGTCCGGCGGGCACTGCGAATCTACCTGAAGAGGACGGCTCCCTTCCGTCGTTCGGAATCTCTCTTCGTCTCCTTTTTACCTACCTCTCAAGGCAGTAGGGTCTCTCCTTCAACCATCGGTCGTTGGATTCGCCAGACGATTGCCGCTGGCTGCTGTCTCCACTCTCAATGGAGAAGGATCATTGGTCTTACCTGATACGTTCCTTCTCGTTGAGTGGAGACAGCAGCCAGACCCTCCCCCTTTTTCTTCTTCAAGCTGGACTCGGCATTTTTCTATTTTTCTGTCTTTGGTTTCTTCTTTGTCCCACACACCGAGTCTGTCTTCCAGTCTTCGCCAAAGCTGGCCTGCCCGGCAACAGAGGCGGGACTAAGAATAATTGGCAGGCTCAGTCCTTCAAGCTGATTGGATGGGCACTACTCACGCTGGCTGCTGTCTCCACTCAACGAGAAGGAACGTATCAGGTAAGACCAACGATCCGTCCCTTCTTTGTAGATTAATGAAATATGTGCTTCTTTCTAAGATTCTTTCCAAGATTTGCTTCTTTTAGTGCCTTATTGTAAACCTCTAATAATATTCCATTTAATGATGTTCCTAATCCTTTGTATAGTTCTATTGGTAGCCCATCTGTTCCCGGGGTTTTATTATTTTTTTGTTTCCTAATAGTTTCCTGTAATTCTTCCATTGTAATCTCCCTATTTAGCATCTTTTTTTCCTCTTCCGTTATCACGGGCATTTCCTCCTTTTTAAAATATTGCTCTATTTCTTCTACTTCCACCTTTTCTTGCTTATATAGGTTTTGAAAGAATTGAATTGCTATTTCTTTCTTTTTTTTCTGGGCTCTGATGCAACTTACTTTCATTGTCCTGGAGTTGATGAATTATTCATTTTTCTCTTTCTTTTCTTAATTTATAAGCCATCCACCTCCCCGGTTTATTTGCCTGTTCAAATTGATTTTGTCTTATAAATTTTAATGCATTGACATATTTTTCTTGTTCAAGTATGTTCAATTTGTGTTTAGCAGCCGTCCAATTAACTCTTATCTGTTCATCCCCCGGTCTGTCCTGTAATTTCTCTTTGCAATTTTTAATCTCACTATAAATTTTGTTATATTCCTTTTCCCTCCCCTTTTTTCTTTTGCTATTATAGGTTAGTGTTATTCCTCTGATGTAGGCTTTTGTTGTGTCCCACAAATTTTGTAAAGATGTCTGGCTTTTATTATTATCCTTGAAGAACCATTTCAGTTCTTCTTCTATTCTTTCAATATATTCTTTTTCTTTCATTACTTGTGTATTCATGATCCATCTGCTTTTCCCCTTTCTCCATCCTCTCCATTCTATTATTAATGGGTTATGATCGGCCCAATCATTTGTCCCTATTTCTACTGATTGAATCTCCTGTATTAAAGTCTTTAAAGTATTAAAGTATATGGTTCTTTCCATTGCAGCTTCCCCTCACTCCCTTTACCTATGTGATTCTTTCAAGCTCTGTTGAGAGATATTAAGAGATCCAAGGTCTCTGAGAGAATTTAGTTTAGTTTAGTTTATTTGATTTGTATACCGCCCTACTCCCGAAGGACTCAGGGCGGTGAACAGCCAAACAATAAAATACATAGATACAAAAAATTTAAAAACCAAATAAAATCAAATTAAATCATTTGGCCCAGACAGATTAAAACACCCCAATAATTTAAAAACAGATTAAAATTTTACATATTTAAAAAGGGAAGAGATTAGGCCAAGCCCGCCTGATGGAATAGGAAGGTCTTCACAGCGCGGCGGAAGGTGCGCAGATCCGGGATCCTCCGTATCTCCGGGGGGAGCTCATTCCAGATGGTAGGTGCCCCCACAGAGAAGGCTCTCCCCCTAGGGGCCGCCAGTCGACACTGTTTGGCTGACGGCACCCGGAGGAGTCCCTCTCTATGAGAGCGTACTGGCCGGTGGAAGGCTATTGGTGGTAGTAGGCGGTCCCGTAGATAACCAGGTCCTAAGCCATGGAGCGCTTTAAAGGTGGTAACCAAAACCTTGAAGCGCACCCGGAAGACCACCGTGAGCCAGTGCAGCTCGCGCAGGAGAGGTGTTACATGGGAGCGCCATGTCGCTCCAATTACCACCCGCGCAGCCGCACTCTGCGCCAGTTGGAGCCTCCGGGTGCTCCTCAAGGGGAGCCCCATGTAGAGAGCATTGCAATAGTCCAAGCGGGAGGTGACGAGGGCATGAGTGACCGTGCGTAACGAGTCCCGATCCAGAAAGGGACACCAGAAAGGGCGTCCCTTTCAGTGCTGAGTAGAAATTGGAACATGGATCTCCCTCAGTTTACACTGGAATTGTAATCAGTTAGGTAAGTGGGGTTCTACTGTGGACTAGATGTCCCTAAAGACATGGGGATAGCATTGTAGCAGAGATAGGTGGCCAGATGGTGAATTTTATCTGGTACAGACAAAGAGACATCACGCAGTCATCCATTTGTCTTCTGGACAGCTGCTCCTCATGAAGAAACTACCACAACTGAGGGTTTTGCAGTCAATTCATGAATTGAGCAGCTAGAGATCAAGGAATTTCATTCAAGCTCATAGCCTGAATGCAGCCTATATGGACTCAATGTTTGCAAAAACCTTACTTTTTTAGCCACTATTGGATGTAATCAATTTATACTTAAAGAGAGATTTTCTGAGTGGTAGGATAAAATAAATCCACTTGGTGAGTCAACATTCTTTCTGGATTAAAGAAGGAAGGGGAAAAAGGCTTTAGGGGATTTAAATTTTCAGCAAAAAGCTGACAAAAATGGGATGTCAGAAAGTTTTAAATGGATAAAGGAGTCAGTAAATTTGGAAGATTCAATTTTGGTGAAAAGGCATTTGAAAATATTGGAATTAAACAGATAAATAGATTTGAATTTTGTGGGAATGTTATCTGCTTAGCATTCAAGGGATAGACAGTTGCTTCGGTTATACAAAATAAAACTGACCAATTGTCTATGTCCTTAATACTAATATAATGTTTATTTATAAATTAAAGATAATATTAACCAGATTGTGATTGTGACTATAAATACAGACTTTTTAAATTTATGATTTATGGATTATCAGTGCTTAACATGGAATATAAATGGAGTAAATGCTGCTCGAAACAAAGAACAATGTTATTTAAAAAAAATAAAAAGATATAATTTGCTTACAAAAAAAGTTATTAGAAAAAAGATATAAAGTATTTGACTTACAAAAAATTTGGTGAAGAATTTTTCTCAGCAAATCTAAAATCTAAAAACGAAAAGGAGAAAAGAAATGAAATTATTTTATGTTCAAGCTCCCCAATTATAACCAGAAATTTATATAGACTCATGAGTAGGGTAGATATGTTGGGATAGAAGTTAATTTGTATAGGGTTAAGATTCTGATATTGGGACTTTATACTTCAAATGAGGATAAAACAATAATAAAACTAATGATCTTTTCTTATGAAAATTGGTGTTTAATCAGAGGTTGGAATAGAGTAATCTTCCCACAAATGAAAGAACTTTTGAGAAAAAATATTAAAATTACACAAGGTAATATTTTATTTGATGGACAGTTTAGACTCTTTAAACTTTAAACTCTTTAAACATTAGAGCATGGTGATGCATGGAGACATAAAATGACAATTTAGGGGAGTAGACTATTTTTCTGAAAGACAGCTCTTTTTCAAGAATAAATGTGATTTGGATTTCAAAGAATTTGACTACTAAGGTTCGTAGAGATACTACCAAAGGTCTTTTCAGATCATAATCCAGAGAGTTTGGTTTTTAAAGGAAATCCAGTTTTTCCACAGAGAGGTTAAATGAAATGCTGCTACATAAAGAAGCAATAGTGGAAGGAATCTTAAAAAGTTTCTTTCAAAATAATATTAACAAATGTAAGAAAGGTTTAGGACACAAGGAAAGCTTTCATGAGAGGTTACTTTATACAACTTTGTAGTGAACTC